TATTGTGTTTTTATGGAAGTAAATGTATGCTGTTTAAAAACCTCGCGATTGCTGAGCAAGAAAACGACACATTCATAACTATACTCATATGTACACCTCTGTTTTAGAAAACTTGTTTCATTTAACTTCGGCTTGAAGGGCGGGTCAACGAAGCAACCAAGTAAGTTATATTGATCTTTCGTCAAAACTTTATTTCATCGCTCCACTCTTGCGTTCTACAAGCTTGAACGCAATTTGGTGACAGCGTACGTTCTGCGTCTTTCATATCAGCCTTTCTTTTCTTAGAGATAAGTTTCTTGGTGGCTTTCAAATCGCCATTTTTTTCGAACTATCGTGAAGGTATTTCATAAGATTGCTGCATTCAACAAAGACTTGCCAGAAATCGACTACAAATAGGAATGAATCTCAATTTATGAAGGATTTTTTCGAGTTCGCTCTCTGTTTTTTGCGCTTTTCTCCAATATTTTCAAGAAAGGAATTCCGCGCAAAGGAGGCGATCCATGTAAAATTTTTGGAGGGGATTTGGCACAACAGTGGGATCGGTTACGCAAAAGGTTCGACATACTACGATCCAATGTATCTCGTTATAGCACATACCACTTAACGGGTACCACATTCAGCGTTGAGATGGCGAGGCCAGTTTGGCTTTAAATTTACGATGGTGGCCTTGTAAAAATTGTACTATTCTTTCTGGAAATTCCTAAAATCCATTTGAATTGCTTCAACCTCGCCTCCCTCATTTCTTGACTTGTAAACAACAGATTTATTGCTTAATTCTCTAACCCATTCGTGACGGTATGTGACCACTACAGTATTCATACGTGGTAGTTCGAGTGGACGGCATGGACACTATGGAGTCAATTTTCAATTCTGCAGGTTCCACTTCTCTACCACACTATGCAGATTCATTCGACAGCTCCTAAACGTAGACCAGAACAAGTGGAGTAAGACTAAAATCTATTCTCTATATTTAGGTATTTGCAAAAGATCTTTTTTTGGAAAGGTTTATCGACCGGTAATTTAACTAGCAATTAAATGTTATTTCATACCAATCACAATGGTCACTGCATGGAATGCGCGAATATAAAAATACTGAAATAAATTCAACAAAAGTTGTGAAATAGCTCCAAATTCTGACAGCAATCTGCCTGCATGATGGACCATGGCAAAAAAGGGATAAAAAGGACAAAGAGGCGTTGATCAATGCCTGAGAGATGCGCCATGCATTCGCTTCATTAAGCATCGTTTGCAGGTGATTGAATGCATATCTAGCCATTACAATGACTCGCGGCGGCCTACTGATGTATCGAGTCAGTGCTGCTATCCTCCTAGACGAGTCTGGTACCAAGTTAACGACCCCGGAGGGATGGAAGGTGTGTTGCAGTGCGCCTCCGATCACTGCGCTACACGTGCCTTTCGACTATAGTAACACTTAATAAATACTAGCATCCATATTATTCATACTCATAGAACCTTAGACCAAACTCTCTTTTACAATGCTCGTTTTTACAGCCCCTTAAGTCCTCTATATATTGAAGAACTATTGTTTAACATCGAAAAACCAGAAAAACCGCAGCAGACAAAAACGAAAAATTCCATTGCATCAGTCACAAAAGTGGAGCGCCGGGGTATGGACTAAAAGGAATTTCCATGTATAAACCTGTCCTAAAGTAAGCAGCAGTGCTCTATATAGTCTGACGTTCCATGTCTTGAAGAACAACATTTTTCTGGCGTCGTATATGGGCCAGGTCGACTTGTTTCGCAGAACCCATGAGTTACGATTAACCTTCTTAGTTTGCACCACCAGGTCCTTAAAGAAATATTCCGATTTTCGTATGGTTCAATACACATAACCAACCTCGTGTTTTTAGATATATACAGCTTAATATGGTTCCGAGTTTCCTACCTACGTTTAGTCCTATGTAGATCTATGTGTTACTCCGATGATGCAAAAAATAAAAGGTTGATCGTTTTAATCACCCTGCGTCATCAGGAAAGTAGAAAATCACTTTTGTTGGATTTAACCCTTCCATCGAGCATACACGCTATGGAGCTTCACGACTAACTGCCGTAGACCACAAAACGATGGAGATCCGCGGAACGAAGTTTTAGGATTGAAAAAAAACAAAGTAATGTAAGAGAAAAATCAGTGTGGATCAATACCCCTATTCAACTAACTTCTTTGTAGAGCTTTTCGTACCGTTCAAGCTCATCGACACCCATATCTTGCACGATTTTTTTATTGGGACCAATATCGTTATGTACAATCGCATTCGAACCACCCAATGTTGCAACCTGAACAGTGGAAACGCCAATTTCTGAAGAATTTAGCCTCAACATATAGTATTTTTGAGCGATATACCAATGCCTTTTTACCTCATATTTGGCAATACGTTGTCGGAAGAGTTTACAGTCGTTCTGCAGGTCAATTTTTTCAGCTTTCAGCTCCTCTTTTTCCTTCAGCAATGCAGCTAAATCCTTTCTCAAACTTTGAACTTCATCCATTAATTGCTTCTTTTCTAATTTGAAGTTTGCTTTGATATTGAGCTCATTCTGAAAACTTTATTGAAAAAAGCTTTCCAAACTCTGGGCTTTAACGTCCAGAAAGTTCCTGGATATGAATCCAGATATATAATAATCACTAAATGAAAATAACTAACAGCTGCATATTTTTGCACTTCCAATTCCAGCCGCTCCATGTTCCTATCTAACGTCAACGATCTCGCTTTAATCAGACGGTTTTCTTCTTGAGTGAATTGCAAATCTTTGCCTAACCTCACTATAGTTTCTGTCTTCGTGTCAGCCTTCGACTGAAGTTGTTGAAGCTGAAATACATAACATATTTCTCTAATATAGATAACCGACACATATATAAACTAAAATGAAATGGACCTACATAATATTAAGCACAGATGTTGACTTTTTATTTACTGCCTTTTTACTAGTTTTCACGGCAGATTACTATTTGTGAAACAACAACGATGATGCTGAGATATTTGCAAAACTCCGGACAGCAGATGTCTGCGGTGGGGAGCAAACGCGCTATTGTCCTTTCCAGGGAGCAACGCGTTCACCACCACCACACCATGCGGGTCCTTCGTTTCGCCTGTCTCTCAGCTAGTTCTATCGATCTTTTGCCATCAGCAATCACCCGTCAACGGGATTGATCTGGGGAGCCCAAATCGGCAACAAACCCAGTTAAGCTGAGGCTTTAGTTATAATCACAATCTTAACTTACTATTTACTGCCTACTCTTTTTTTAATGGCACGGTATACTGTTCCCCACCGCAAACACCAGCGGTCCGGAGTTTTGCAAATATCTCAGCATCATTGAAGTTATATTTCGCAATATACCCTGCCATTAAAAAAAGAGTAGGCAGTGAATAATAAGTCAAGAAAGTATATTGGATCTATTTCTATACTTAGAGCCGTTTATTGGATGCCTTAATCACGATATTGACCATAATGATTGGAAGTAAACTGGCGGTCGATTACGGTCAAAGTGCCGGTCAATGAATTCGTTCGAAGAAAAAGGTCTTCTGTAAATTACTAAGTGTAAAGAACGACGTTTCACAGATCACGCATGATACAACATCTTTATTGCAGAGCGCTATAGTTTCAGTGCAAAATAGACAGCGAGTCTAGTCTAGCGAGAAAGTCTATGCAGAAAGTTTTTTAAAAAATGAAAATGAATTGAATTGGATGTAATGAACTTCGCCTGCTTTCCACCTCGCTCCACGCAAGTATAGTCGCATACATCTTGAGAGTAATGTGTTAATAAAAAAGCATAAAGCTCTCAGCGTTGATCAATCCCTTTAAGGATGCGCCATGCATTCGACTTCATTAAGCATCGTTTGGAGGTGATTGAATGCATATTTGGCTTTTACAATGACTCGCGGTGGCCTACTGATGCATCTAGCTATTGACGCTATCGTCCCAGACAAGTCTGGTACCAACCGACCCAGAAGGATGGAAGGCTTGATGGGCCTTGGCGCGGGGATCAATCCATGTGTGCGTGTCACAGGGCGCCTCCGACCACTGAGCCAGACGCGCCCTTATATCAGCGTAATGTGTTAGTATTAGCTTATCTTAACTGCTGTAGTACTTCTCACTAAATGCACCTAAATGCATCCATAAAAAAAACAGTCCATTAAGTCATCTCGCTCAAAGGTAAATAACATCATGATTTTGTTATCATGTCCTTTTTTCAATGCATTCCATGAGAACGTAACCATATTGCTCATTACATTTTGTCGTCTTATAGGTTAAACCTTATGTGAACTTCTGGATAGAAATGTCGAACTCCTGGTTTTCTATGTGGTGATTCGACTTCCAAGAAATGAAGAACACAACACACGAATCTTCATGAATTTTCCCAGGAAAGTTTCAACAAAACCTAACAAATTTGCGGAAATAAATCCGACTTAAGGGAACTGGAGAATGCTATTTTGAAAGAAAAGGAAGTTGGTAAGATCGATTTATATAAATGTGCATACTAAAGCGCTCCCAACTTTCTGCTGCGGTGCCACATTGGTTTTAAGTCGCATAAATAACCTTGTAACTGGGAGATAAAACAAGTGTTTAAAAAGTTTAAAACAAGAATCCGTAAAGATACCAACGTACTGGCACCATACTTGCATAAATGAAATCAAAAATGATTGCGTAGATTTTAACATAACTTATGTGTTATAGCACAACCCTTTAGTTTTAGATTCAAGTAGACCTACTCAATAAAACAACGTAAAAATTTCGCTTATGTATGGATATTTACAAAAGACAGGAACGCAGAATACATAAAAGGTTAGATGAAGTTTCTCTGTCATAGATACCTTTTCTTGTAGTTTCCTGTACTCGTCAACAGAAATTTTCAGAAAATCCATCGAAATGGTTTCTAGTAGTGAGCGAATCAAGATGAACAACTAGTTGATGTAGCAGCTAGGACGGACCGAAGGGCTCGCTGGAAGGCCTATGGATACCGCCCCCCTGGTGCTCCACAGTATTGATTTTCGCTCATCGTCGCCCGAGGCTGTATCGCGCACCGGCAAGCAGTGGATTCTCCAGGCATGATTTGCACATTTTTCGCGATATTCCTTCTATACAGTAGTGTGTTATAAGCGTTACCAGTATAGATTAGTGTTAAAGTATTTTCATCATTAAAACTCTTCTCATTGCTATGACTAGTAGTGAAACGTTGCCACGAATATAATTTTACGATATGCCTTCTCGCTTCTTCTCTTGTACACATTACTTTACCTTTTCTAAAACATTACGCGCCGGCGAATCGTTTCTGATTAAACGAGCGCGTGGGATGATGTTTGGATATAGTATGTGTGTAGTGTGCCACCAGATCTATGGGGCATTAAATCGTTTCAGGTTACCTTAGTTCTCTGCCTAGCAAGCTTAATTCCTTGTGCTCTAGTCTTCTAAACTATATAAGAGTTCGACGTATCTATCAGAAAACCCAGTTAACAATAAGCATGTTTGTAGAACTCACTAACTAGTCACAGAATCTAAATTCAAGGATAGCAAAAGTTCTTCTGTTTCACAAACACCGACCTCTTTATGCTCATAAGTTCTTGATGTGACAAAGCGGCAAAACAGATCATCATCGTTCTTCACTTTCGCTCACAGGTTTCATCGCTATCCGCGTAAACGTCTTTGTTAATTTCTGGGCAGTCTGGGTTTTTCTCCAAAATGATTCCAACTTAGTACGTTCTGTGCAGTGGTTAGAGGTGCACTGCAATAGGGACGGGATAAATAGCTGCTTCAATTTAATGCCTTGTGCCTCCCATCCCACCCGGACGGGAAATTTGTTCCAAATTTGTCTCGTTTTGAAGGATGACTGGATACATTGACACTACACCGCAAGTCATTGCATAGATTAGATATCCATTCAATCACCTCTAACGATATCTAATGAAATCCAATGCATGGCTCATCTCCTAGGATTTGTCATTGTCGGAAGCCTTATTCTTAGCTTCTTCTGGAATGTCTCTGTCTTTTCTTTCATCTTCTACATACATTGCTTCTTCGAAATTGAATCTTCGTACATTCACTGGCGGCGTATACCCGATGGTTAGAAAGCTTGCGTGCAGTTGTACCATCCATATGTCCCTTTATCCAGACAGTTTTTCCTATATGTTCTTCCGTATAAACTTTGCAGGAATTTAAGTAAACATTCCTGCCAAAATTCATTAATCATCTTGAGCACGCAACCTCAGCATTGTTAGATAAAAGCATTCGTGACAACGTTAACCTTTTATTTTCTGTCTGCTACAATTTTTTACGACAGGGTATTATGTGGTATAAAACCACATAATACCCTACCGTGAAAAATTGTAGTAGGCAACAAATAAAAAGTTACTTAAATACTTGAAGACTTGGATGGTCCGTCTTCACTGGATGTGCGGGCCTCAGCATAATTTCCATTTTCTAAAGTTATCCTGGTTTAGCTACTGCGGTCCCTAGGCTCCAGAGGTCAGCCTAGTCAAAGTCTGCCACAGGCCGTCACCACCAGAAGCAGGCGCCGCCCTTGTCGATTAGAGGGAGATTTGCTACCATACGACTTGTTTGATACCAGGACGGTAGTGGATCCTGATATTCATTTGCTCTTGGCTGGGCTTCCTGATGGAAGCGCCAGACTCCTCAGTTTAGGAGATCCTACTTGGGAATGAATCCCCCGCTGTACAGTCTCAGCCCCACATCCAGCAGCACCTCCCAGTCACGATGAGGATACGATGGGAGGAAACAAAAAGTTAGCATTGTGATTTCGGCTACGGCTTCGGCTTAACTGAGGCTAATGCCGACTTGTGTCCCTGGATAAATCCGTCGACGGGTGACTGCTGATGGCACTGGTAGATAGAAAGCGACTAAGTTGTTTAGAAATAAATGAGCGTTTTTAACTATATTATTTAAAACGTCATAACTTGCTTCAAACAAAACATTGTTGATCAAAATGAAGACCGTTTGAATCAACACAATTTTGCCAACGAGAATCAAGTTCATTTAGTCTCGTTGCATAAAATTTTGGAGTTCTGGAAGCAATGAATTCGTTGAAAGCATTTTTTGCGTCATCGTGGTTGGTGAAGCATTTCTCGCCCAGGAAGTTGTCAAGGTACTTGAAGAAGTGAGAGTTGATAGACCAGAAATCTGATGAATATAGCGGATGAGGCAAAGTTTAGTAGCCGAACTCGTTCAACTTCTGCAGCGTGAAGCTGGGCTTTGTCGTGGAGAAGGATTGCTCCTTTTCTGTTGACCAATACCGGTCGTTGCTGTTGGAGTTTACGATGTAGTTTGTTGGCAATGCTTCTCTTCCGTAATTTTTTACTCGGAGTAAAAAACTATGATGAATCAGCCCTGCTACAGACCACCAAACAGTCACCATAACCTTTTTTGGTGAAATTTTGGCTTTGGAAAGTGCTGTGGAGCCGAATCGCAATCCAACCATTGAGCCGAACGCCGCCGGTTCTCGTACAGAATTCGCTTCTCGTCGCACGTCGCAATTCGGCTAAGAAAAGAGTCGTATTTGTTGAGCAGAATAAGAGCAAACAACACTTCAAGACGGCGATTTCTTTGACTATTGTTTAATTCGTGCGGCACCCATTTGTCCACTTTTTTTGCCTTTCCTATGCGATCCAAGTGAGTGGAAATTGTTCTTGTGCTTACGCCAAGTTGTTCCGCAAGCTCTCGAACAGTTGCTCGCGTGTCTGCGCCCACTAGTGCCTTCAATTCGTCGTCGTCAAGTTTGTTGGGACGTCCGAGGCTTTCCTTTTCTTCGAGGTCTAAATCACCAGATCGGAATTACCGGAACTATGTTTGCACCGTTGATTCACCAACACTACCTTAACCCCAAACTTCATTAATCTTTCGAGCCGTCTCTGCTGCACAACGACCGAGTTTGAACCTATAAAGGAAAATTTGACAAAAATTCATTTAAGACATCTAAGATTGCAAAGGTCAAAATTGGTAAAAAAGAATCCAATTTTCGACGTTTTCGGACGGCGTTCTCAAGACCCTTGATCACTACCGCGATAGAAAGTTTATCTCTAACCTTACAGCCGCACAAAAA